CACTTTTTTCTTTCATTTGCTATTCCATTTTGAAAGGATTTGATTAAAAAATTATGGAAACAGTGAAGACCTCTACAGTATTCAGCCTTAGGTATTAGAGAGGCGAAACTTTGCAAATTATTGAAGGAAAACTTCTGTACATGATAGAGAAACAGTGAGGGCTTTAGCCTTTAATAGAACATCAAAAATGAAATAATATTAATATGAAATAGACACATCTGTATAAGAAGGATAAGAAGCAGGATAAGAGAATGAGCTCCGTGTTCAGTTATGAGCTCTACTGCCTCAGTCCAAGTAGGTATTATGGTCAAAATGGAAAAGAAACTTAACTAATTTCATCTTCAAACTGTCCATCATACTACACCTGATCGTATTGTTTGACATATGTCAAAGAGCCTTAATCCATTTATGAAAGAGAAAATGCAAGCCATGTAAAAACAGTTATAAAGCATTCCTAAGAGATTCACCTTATCACCAGTATAGCCAGATTCCACAGGTATTTGATTATTTAGCCTACAAGGTAAAAATTTGTTTGTTTACGTACGTCAAGTCACAGTTTTTAGTTCTGAAGGATTCTTAGTAACTTCCGACTTCTGCAGTGTCAGGCAGACTGATTTGCTGTACGTTTGAGACTTCTAGGACCATTCAATGAAAGATGCAAGATATAGCAAACTACTAGGTAACACAGGAATATCACACTATATAAAGTACGTTACCTTTTATTTATTTTACTGTGTGAACCAAGGGCCTTGGTTCCTTTTACCAAGATTAACAAACAAAAAACTGGTTTGGCAGTAAGTTCTTTTTTCATTAACGATTCAACCGCATCTGTGTGCAAGTCATTCACTAGTATTTTCTGTCTGCAGTGGCTTATATGAGATAATATAGCAAAGTGAAAAGTGGACCTCCTACTGAACTCTGACAGATAAGAGAGGCAGGTAGAAGCCAGTTGATTGTAGGTTTTTAAAGTAATAGGTCTGTCAGGACCTTGATCTATTTCAACATGAAAGCCTGGAAAAACAAATCAATAACAAGACACTACATCAAATCATTATCTGGAATTCTGTTTCTGTGAGAAGGTTAATTTTGCTCACTGGAATGGGTGATAATACTGAAATAAAGGAAACACTCTCTACAATTAGCTACAGAAGAATAAAAGAAAAGCTGAAAAAAAGAAAATAGTTACAGAGAATCAGGAAGGGGGAGAGGGAGGAGTAATGTAGGTTTATAGAGGCTACAGAAGGAATCGTTAAATGGTAAAGGATAGATATACCTGCAGTTACATGTAGTAAATACAGGTGATGCAAGATGTTGTTGTTGTTGTTTTTAGAATGACCTGAATATATTGCTAAAGTGGAAGCATCAATACTAGGTGCTAGGAAAAAGACTGCAGGTATCTATCTATCTTCAGTGCCAAAATGCCGCATTTTCCCTATCAAAAAAAGTCACAAGTCACAAGTCTATAAAGTTCAGTCAGTAGCACTCACCTCTTCAAAAAAAATGCTCGTTCAAAAACATGCCTCTTCCTAAATGTGACAGAATAATTACTGTAGATAACAGCGTAGCTGCAGATATCATGGAAGATGATAACATTCAAACAGAGATTACTGCCAGGTTGCAAGTGTTGTGTATGATGTCCTATAATATTGTCTAAGAAAACTATTCAGTTTTGTTTGTTTTAAGAGCAAAAAGACATTTTTAGTAAGATCAACTTACAGGACATATCAGGTCTTAAGCACCATGGTAAATAAGTATTTTTGTGTAGAGAACTGCTCTTGAATAACGTCCTCACCAGATACCAGATATTCAGAGTCATTAAATATCAGAAATGTATATTGGTGCCTCAAGGTATTTTTCTGAAAGTTTTAATGGCACATAGATTTCAACTGCAGGAAGCTTTTGTTAGCTGAAATGCCCATCACAGACAACACTGTAAAAACAAGCTAACTGCAAGGCAGCCTGTTGTACTGAAACACTGAAAACAAGTAGTTTAAGTACCTTGAAACCCTGCTTCCAAGAGATTTGTTGCTCTTTTTTCACAGACTTTAAACACTGAATTAGACACAGCTACTTCATGAGCTTACCATTATTAGAAACTAGAGAACAGAACGAGTAGTGCATCTTGACTTGCAGGATTGTGTGGTTTCAAAGGGAAGTCAAATTCATGGTGCCTCTTTCCTAGATTATCACACATTTATGCAGTCTCTCTTGTTTACCCACTTGCCCAAAAACTGCATTACATAGATGCCTGCTCAGGGGAACAAAGAGCTTTTAAAGGCTCAGCCCAAGAGCCTTAATCCTAAGCTGCATTTTCCCTTCTTCCCCAAGTCCTGAAAGTCTCAGACAGTAAGAGCACTCGCTATTCTCTACCTCTTGTTTCATCTCTCCGTGCCTGTACAGTACATCCCTAGCCTTCAGCCATGTCCCTCCCTCTTAACGTGCCTGCTAGGTGGGCAGGCTGCAGCACACCCTGCATGCACCTAGAGGGCAGCATAAAGAAGAAGGAAGCAGTGTTTGAGCTGGTGTGATCCATTATTGTTCTAGGACTGTATGTCTGCACCACGCTGACCAGCAATGAAATCCATGCTGTTTACCAGCCCTAGGCACGCACTGAACATCTGTACTTACTAAGCGATGAAAAGTAGATTTTTGTAGAGATTGTCTTATGCACATACACAGAGAGCAAACTGCCAGAGGACACTGCATCCACTTTGCAAACGGGAAACTGCAGGTGGCACCTCAATATGCAGCTATCTGTTGCCAGGAGGGAACTGGAGTCTGGACAAGAAGTAATGTGCTCTTGTGTATACTTCATTGCTCCAGGTCTGAGGCCAACTTTCATCTAAAAGAGAACCCCTCCAACTCATTACATCACTGATGGAGACTCACTCGTTGTGGCTATTGCAGAGCTACACGCGTTCTCCCGTGAGCCAGCTGGTCGTTGCCTCCTTGGCCGCTAGGTGAGCCAGGCAGAACATTCTGCCTGTTGGCTGCTGGCAGGTCGAGCTGACCAGGGGCTGCATGGTTGCACCAGCCCACTTGCTGTAGAAAAGACATCTGGTGAGACCCCACTACAGTGTTTCTATTTTTGAAGCCCTAACATGATAGGGATCGAACTTTGAAAAAAATACTACAGTTTCCTGCATTTGCTGTAAGGAAGCTTCCAAAAGGGTATTGTTAGGACTGCCCTTCCTCCACTTTTCGCTGTTGATTGGCAAGTTTGAGGTTAGTTGTGTACCCAGTTTTGGCACAACAATTTTAAGCGTGCTTACTAGAAATACAAAAAAATAGACAAATTTTGTTGAATGATCTTATATGAACCATTATTGCAATGGGGCAAAAATCTCAGTTGACGGACGTACATGCTGTTGCAATACAAGTAATAAGAACAACAATAGATCCTTCACTGACCCAATCCGTATCTTCAGCATGCCACTGAAAAGTTCAGGTGAATTTGAAATCAGCTTCTCTTTCATCTTGTAAATTACACTTTTCATAGATGATGTTCTTAATCACTGCTGGGGATAAGGGATTTGAAATAACTTCTTCTTCTTGGCCAAAAGCTCCAAGTGTCACCTGCAGTATTTTGGAAACAATTCAGAAGATTTGGACAGCAACAAAGCCACAACGGAAATAATTCAGAAATTATACTTAATGAACTCTACTCTTGCTAAAATTTCACAATGCAAAAATAATCTGGTTTCAATGACTGATGACTGTTAATACTGTTAGTTGGATGCTATTAAAACAACAAAGCTCACTAAAGATAACAGTAAATTTGGAAAAATATTTTTCCAAATAAAAATAACTGTACAAGATTACTGCTTTGATTTTAATGCTCTCTCATTTCTGAGATTTCAGCAGTGCAGCTAAGTTAAAATTCAGAAGTAAGTTCATATTTTTGTCTTCTTATTTCTATTAGCATCCCAGAAGTTAGAACCTCCATTTTAAGAGCACAGAATGGATTTCTGGTACTGGATTGATTAAGTACAAAAAAAGAAATCTTAACAAAGATTCTAATCTGCTTTTAGTCTACTGTCAGTGAAACACAGCAACATGAATTCTTCCTCTCTAATAAAGATCTTATGGAGATATAAAGGAATTGATGAAAGCAAGTTAGATTAAAAACTTGAAAACGAGCACCAGCAATCACGCTGCATGCACATGCAGCTTCCTCTATAGCTATGTAGCGCCAGAAGCACACACCCAGAGATAAGTCTGGAGTGAGGTAAGGACAAATCTATCATAACAGCATTGCATATAAATATACAGATATACATGCTTTACTATAAAAATACATAATATTCAACTACTGTTGCTTGGAAACAGCTCTTCATGAACTTATTTAATAATTAAATTTATTGTGCTGGGAGAACAAAAAAAAGTTGCTTAGGAAAGGAAGAAACACTGATGATTAAACTTCAGGGCAGAAAGCTAGAATTCTGAAAGACTTTTTTTGCTCAGCTGGTTATTCCTTGTGAAAAATCAACTGGCACCCATCTGTCTTATTACAGAGAGAGTGGCTGTATGTTCATTCACTGATCTTTAAAAGATAACTTTACTACTTGAATCCATTTCCTTTCTTAAAATAAAAGGAAATACATAATATAAAATCTAAGGAGTTGTGTAAAACATGTCTTTTCCCCTTCTTACCCAGTTTGTTTGCTGAACTGTCTGCTCAATATTGCTCTTTGTCGTTAAAGTAAATTAATTAGCACTCAGCATATGTAAGTACTACTTATAGTATCTTTATTTCCTCTGGATTTTTCTTCCTCAATAAGGATTTCTAAGCTATTTTCTACTTCTAAAAGCATCATCATAGAGGCCTTCAAAATGAAAGAGCCCATTAATTTATTTTCTCTGTTATCATTCCTTAATACATTTCTGAAAAGGAAAGACTTACCTGCTTGCCCTGAACTAAAACATTAGTAATAGATGGTGCAAGGCTGTCCACTAGTTTACCTAAAAGACTTGCTGCGAAGCGCACAACAGACCTGAGGGCAGAAAACAGAGCAGTCCCACTACATATCAAAAGCTAGTTTAATGAATTCATATATCATTTTGAACCACATTGATCCCCGAATTAACTTGATAACGTATACGTTACTTATAGCGTGGACTTCAGATCAGATTTTATGTAATCTCCGGATTTTCATTAGTCTCTAGTCCAAATATAGATTAATAGATTAGAAATAAATTTAGTTAGAACTCATTAAACTACAAACTTCATAAAAAAAAGCTTCTTGTTCTCCTCTCTGGCATCACCTTGAGAACAGACAGGTCAAAGATGTCAGCTGCTGTTTTGTAACATTTCATCGTTTTGCAAGATACCCTCGGTACTTTTTAAGGCTACTTTTAAAAGTTAGAAAGAAGAAATAAAACACCACCAGGGCTTTGTTTTGTTTTTTCCTTGTCAAGGTAATAATTCACATGTATAGGATGAAAAGGAGAGAATCAGATAAACTGCTAGTTTTAAAAGCAGCTGTAACTTTCAGAAACGGCTGGACAGATGAAGAAATGGTAGCACTTTATTATTAAAAATATTTATATTTTAATTTCCTGACCAAATAGGAACTCAGTAGGCCTGTATCTAAGCTTTTCTAACATGGGCTTTGTAGCTGCAAAAAATCATCAACGGCGCTAATGAACAAGTTGTAATATTTTATAATATTAGTACAAAATTTATCAACCAATTGATGTTGATTACTGTGAAAACTGCTGTGCACTTTTTAAGATCAAGAGCAAAGCATTTCAAAAATGCATTAGCCGATACCATAATGCAAATAAGCCAAAAAAAAAAAAAAAATCTCACGGAGCTCCATTTCAGACCTCTGGGCACTTTACCTGTTTCCCATGTACCAGTATGGTAGTAATATGTGTGGCTATAGAAGAAGAAAATTTCTGTACAAATGCAGCACTGTAGCGCAACACCAACCTATGTGTGTCACATGGCAATCATGGAAGAGAAATGAAAAACAGTTTACATATTTTGTTTCTAAAAATGCTTTTGGTTTTTATGCATTAAAAATGTCATCAAGGAAAGCATCTACCATATTGGCAAAGGCCCATTTAACTGTATGAACAGACTAAAATGAAAAATGAAAAACAGTTGGTAAATTTACAAACTCATCTGTTAGTAGTGCTTACAGAGCAAGAAAACAGAATTCAGAACAGGTTCACATCATTTCTTTGATAATAAGAAATGAAATTTCTCCTGAATTTCAGGACAAAGAGATTAATAAACAATATGTAAATACCAGCCTACTTGCTGAAGCCTTTTGAAATTATTGTGACATAGTCAGAGTCGAACCAAATTATTTCAAGGGCAATAAGCAACTAATTGTGTAAGTCCATCAACGTAGTTTGTATCTGATCACCAGCCTTACTACATAAAGTTATTGATGTTATTTTACCATGACCTGCAAGAAAAAATATTTTTTCTTATTTTTTCCTCATTATTTCAATTTAACTAGAACTGTACTTCTGCAGTAGCACTCAGTACTACAAAACTAGCCTATTACTCTTTTATATTCAAAAAGATAATACTAAGAAAATATTTTTTCATTTTTTTAAAGCACTATGGACTAGATATTCAGCTGCAGTAAAACAAGACAATTTTGTCAGTAAAGCTATCCTCCCCCCCCCCCCATTTAATACATAAGGATCTGGCTTTACTCTCTATAAACACACAGGATTAAAAAAAATACTTAGTGTAAAACAAAAGGAACACGATGAGAACTGTATACAAACCACAGTTTTTTGCTGCCAGCTCGTCTGTAGATTCTTTCAATATGCTCAGCAACAGTACCTAAACATGTTAAAAAAAAAAAAAGGCACAAAAAGATGCACAAATTTTCATTTAATAGTAATAAGGTAAATTTGATCAGATCAGTTAATTCTGAATCAGCTTTAGTAAAGCACTTACATACCATGTTTAACATCTAAAATTTAGATGCAATCAAGTCCCCTATCATCCAGCTGTGTGTTGTTATACCAGAAGCCAATCCAGATTACAGCTACATTTGCTGCTTATGCTGTAAAGAGACTTAACATATCAACTATTATTGTGATAAAATGGGAAAATTAATCTATGCACAGATTTGGCCTATAAGGTGCATCTCATTACCCTCATCAAACTGCACTTTTTTTTTTTTTTTTTTTTTTAAATATGGGTCGTAAATAATTCTGCTGTCTTGCATCTGTTGAGCTAAAATCCACAGGAAGCAACAGGATAGTCTTGGGCTTGACAATGTAGTTCACTGAAGTGATGTTGTATCTGGGCAAAGTTTTTAATAGCTGACATCCAAGACATATCTGGTTTTCAACTTTACACATGAGTATTATATGAATATTAATCTGATTACCTGATAATCACATGAGACATTAGGCATTCAATTTACAGAAAGTTGAGAGACTAATAAAGAGGGGATCTTTCACGGCCTTGCAGTTCTGCTCTGAATAACCACCACAGGGTGCCCACAAAAGATAACCAAGTTACTCTGTGACCTAGCTTTGATCCTGAGGTGCATTAGTGCACTACTCCAGCTAGGAGTATCATCACTGCTGCAAAATACAGGGAATATTTGACAGATACATTATTATATATACTACAGCATTATACTATTGATTTACTGTTCCCCCCCTCACCCCCCACCAAAATCTAATCTGTCAGATCTGTTACAGCACAGCTAACTGGTACAGCTGCATTAGCTGTACTGGTACAGCTGTGCATGACATTGCATTAGTCAGAACAACAGATAATCCTCCCTTGTCCCCGCCACAGGTGATGGTGGTGCATCAACCTAACATGATGATATCTATTCAATTGTGCAGGGATCAAGTAGGGTCTAGTATATTGAAAGTAAAAACGGTGATAAACATTTTATTATTTAGGTCTGAGTTAGCATCTAGATTTAAATTCCCAGGTGGAAAGGCAGTGTTTTTCATACTAGTCACTTACTGCTGAACTCCATCTACGATATCAGTAGTGAAAGTTGACTCACAAAATCATAGCCTAAGGATATGCAGCCTTGTGCGTATCAGCTGCAACTACCAAGGTCCTTCAGCTTTTCTTTTTAGGTTTATTTTTTATTGACTGTGTGATTAGTTAATGTCAGTTTCAATAATCTCCAGTCATAGGAAGACAGGAACTTTAGGCAGTGACTCAGACTGTTTAATGCAAGGTGCATATTAAAAAGGCTATCACCCCCTACTGTTTCATCTTGGATAGCACAAAAAGACCTTTGTACATGTTAACCCTAAAGAGTCAGAGGCACAACAGGACTTCTTCAGCCTAAAAGTTGTCAAGTGGGTTTTCTGTTCATCATCACAATATAATGGTCAAAAGTGGCTGTATGCTGGTTGCTTAGGCAGTGCAGGAGGTTTGCTTCAAGTTGTTTCCAGAGCAAGGAAGGACACAATGCTTTGCTGAAATACAGTGAGGTTTGCTCCACTTTGCATTGTCTTCCGAGACCTTTTTAATGTAGCATCACTGATATAATGTCTGTTTATGTCAACATGACAACTCTTCACCACAATTACCAGCTGTCCCCTATCAAAATTATGAAGTAGGGACCTATAACATGAAGTGGTATGTTGCACTGCTTCAGAAATAACCAAGAGAAGAAATATTATTTGATCTTAACATTCCTCTCTTTCTGGGGAATATTTATAAGTACAAAGGCATCTAAAAAAACAACAGTCTTTGGAAAAAAAAATAAAATTTGCAGCACATAAGCAACAAGCCTGGCAGGATATTCTGGATAATCTCACATAAGAAGTTTAAAACCTACATGCTATTAGAGCTATAATATGAAATTAAAGGAAGATAAACTTTACAGATAATGTTGATATAACATCAGATTACATAAAATTAAGAAATAATCAGTATAAAGCTTCATACATTTTAGACTGTTCCAGACATACAAACTGCTCTTCAATTTCAGTTTAATGTACAAGGTCATGTGCATTTTTTCATATGTGTGTGTTCAGAATTACAACTAGGCACAGAAACTGCATACAAACAATCTAAAAGAGTACATACATTTAGCAGCTCATTCCTCTCCACTCTATGAAAGTGCATATCCCATTTAAAGTAGAAATGGCTTTAATGGTGAAGAAAATAGCGGCACAACTGCTTGCATGCATAGCCATTATTCATGTTCATTAGAACTACACAGACAGCTGCTTCCTGAAATATTCAGAACAGTCAAATGAAAGCAGCTCTTACCTTCCTTGGTGATAAAATATGGTCCCTCCCTTTTGAGCAATATATTCAAGAGTAACGCTTGACTTGGTAGGCAACTGCAATCCTAAGAACACAAAATCCAAAACCCCAACCTTCAGATTTTCAATGAAGCAAAGACAGCAGAGCTATTACAAATTTCAAATGAAAAAAGAGGGCCTTTTTTAAAAAAAAAAAAAAAAAAAAGATAATTCTATAGATTTCATTTTTAAGGGGAAAGGTTCCTTCATCGCAGCTATTCATCTTCATTGCAACACTGTGTGTCCCCTATCCTTTTCACTCCTATCCTATAGGCTACTCTACGTTCATACTGGGCTGTAATAATTTGGCCTCAAACATATTTCCTGGTTTTCTGTTCTTGCCTTGTTTCATTTATAGCACAAATGCTTACGATGGCGTAGCGAACCACGTAGAATAGTTTGTGTGTTCCCACTGAACTAGGATACTTGAAACAGTCAGTGGTAGTTTTCTTCTAGATGTAGAAAAAATACCAGGTTGGAATTCTCCCTCAGTATCATTAAAAAATTTACCATAATGAATACCTACTGCTGAAGGAGCTTTTTTCTTGAATTTAGTCTAGAAATAAAATATTTATTCATATGATGCAAAACAAATTGCTGCCCATTTAGACTGTCATGTTTTACCAGAGGAAGATTTGGATAGCTGGGAAAAACAGAAGCCAATAGTTAAGAGCATGAAAGATCAGTTCTATGATGTTGAGTTAAAGGACTATAAAGAGGAGGATTCCCTGGGGATGAAGAGGAATATCAGACATTATATGTTATTAGTTTTATTTAAAAGGACTCTAGACACAGGAAGACCATTGACATTAAGCCATGACATTAAGCCATGTTGATCTCAGTAGGCTGCTGTGAAGAATACCAGCACATTGTTTATCATCTCATGAGCACTAAATTACACTTTTTTTTTTTAAATCAAGTTTTCTTACATCCAGTTTCTGCAGAATCTCGTATGTTGACTTGTTTTTCCAGTCATTAATATTTACATCTGGTTGCTGCTCAAGTTCAGAAACATTTGGAGTACTAGACTGTCTCTTGACTTTTGAATGTTTTGGAAGATCCAACTCCTCCAAACTCTTAAATACAGGAGTCCTGAAAAATAAGTATTTCGTTTTTTCACAGTTCAGAAAACATTATAATTATCAAATAGTTCATCATTGTTATTTACACATAGCCTTACTCTTCTGTTTCAGTGAGTCTGAGGAAGTCAAGTTGTTCAACAACTGCTCCAGATATTAAGGTCTGAAATTAAAAATTAACAATTAACAATTAAAAATTTTTTAAAAAAAACCTATTGATTTATATAAGTTTATAGGTTTTTGTTGTTGGGTTTTTTCTTTTTTTTTGTTTGTTTGTTTGTTTTTTACTATGAAAGCCAAATTCTCACTATGTTCTGGTGGTTTCCATTGCGGAAGTCGTGTCTTTATCTACAGTTCCAGGTATCTTTACACTTTCACAATTTTTCTTCCTCTTTCATCATCTGAGATCTGAGATCACGAGATTCACATTCTGCAAAATCTTGCATGATACCTATGCTTTAGACCATAATTCTCATTTTTTTGAGTATCTCTGAGAGGTAGTTCACCTATCAGTCTCAGTGATGTTTCACAAAAAAGACAACAGGGAGTATGACTATCTCTTACTAGGAACAGCAAAGGCATTAGATCACTTAACTACATCTTTAC